TTCAATATACAAGAACACGTTCAACAATAACTAAAGACGTGTTACATTTTCCTGTGGTGTTGTAGAAATACATAACTAAAGAAACTGTATCTGTTACATTCTTCCTTTTTAAACCTGCAGAGGAAGGTCCCTTCCTTCCTTATAAACACATTAACCCCTTGCAGAACACTGGGGCAGGTTTATTTTTGAAACTGCTCAGTGAGCAGTGAACTACAATATGAATCAGAGAATGGAAAACACAGTTGTCTGGAGTTTATTAGTTGTACTTACTATTCATGGTGAGAAAATAAATTCTGTTTCAGACACTGTCAAACTGTATTTCAGAGGAGTGTTGGGTAATGTTCATAATCTCTTTACTTACAGGAATTTTTGGGGAAACCAAATGGACCAGTCGCCCTCTGAGGTGAAAAGACCTGGACAGTCAGTAAAGATGTCATATGTTATATCTGGGTTTGACATGACAAGCTACAGTATTGTTCAAAATAATAGCAGTACAATGTGACTAACCAGAATCATGAATGCTAGGTCTTGTTTGCTTTCTGAGAATCTACTGCACCTACTGGTAACTTGTTTGCCATGTAGCAATAAAAAATATACTAAAAACCTGGATTATTCTGGTTAGTCACATTGTACTGCTATTATTTTGAACAATACTGTACCAGTCTTTACAAACTGGCATCCTTGGTGTTATCAGAACCCCACTAAGTGACTTGTGCTGTACTGGGAATGCAGGTTCAAGCTCTGCTAGCTATGGCAGCTCCTTTCAAAGCCATTTCATCATGACTGAAGATGTGCCCAGCAGCGCTCAGTACCTCAAGGTCAAAAGCCTGATAACACAAGATTCTGCTGTTTACTTCTGTGCTCGATCAAGCACAGTGGCTGAAGACGATGGTGGAGCAGCTGCACAAAAACCTCCAGAGACAAGAAACAATTTGATCTCAACACCTGAGAAAACTTATAGTTTATTTCACTGCAAAGTTATATGTAAATATTTGTTTTTATCATGATGTTACATCATTCAGTATTTGAGTTTTTCTTCTGCCAAAGTGACATTTAAAACTGAATTACCAGTTCCACAGTCATGAGTACAAACCAGGCATTTTATGAAATTAGACTGAAAAGAGGAAAAAGCTGAAAAATATCTGATCAAGCTGAATCAGAAAATATATAGAAAGATGAAATTTTCACAATCTAAAATACAGTACATTTAATATGTCAGTTACTGATATGATGTGGCAAGATGATGATGAAGCAGTTTATTTAAAAAAAGAGTCTGATAACAATAAAACTGTACATAAGTCATATGATTGAAAATGCAATGATATGCTGTGCAGTTTGTTCACACTGACTAATGAAAAACAGTCTTGATAGAAAAATGAATGGTATTTTAAATAATTTGAGTCAAGCTTGTTTGTTAATGTGTCAGATGTCTAAACTATCATAAACATTTTTATATGATTAAAATTCATCTGGTAGGCTGCTCAAAGACATCTTTCCCCT